CACACACACACACACACACACACACAAATGAGCTTAAGCTTTCTCCCATAATAATAGCCAAATTGCATTTATTAACAGTTATCAATCCTTAAGACAAAAGCAATACTAAAATGTGAAAAATATCTTTCACATTATCGTCCTGTAAGTGATTTTTTAAAGTAACATCTATTTTGTGAGTGCAAGTGGAGACTACATGAAGAGTCCTTTAAGGGTGACCTTACCCACATCCCCACTCTTCCAAATCTCCAAGACATTGGCCAGCCTCCCCTTCTGATAGTGAAGTGTTCTCCGGTTGCCATTGTCACATCCAAGGTAAGTGTGCAGTGTTTCCTTGGTTTTCTTTTTTCTTCATATAGACCAATGTTGTCATCAAAAGGGAGCAGCGTCCCTTCAAGCCAAGTCTAGTCATGGTTATTAGACACATTTTTATATAAATCACACATTTTTATATAAATTCTGTCTGTAGAAAGCTTGCAATCCACTTGCAAATGAAGACAGGTAGAGGGCTTGCACATATAACAGACCAAGAAACAGCACTCTGGGATGTCATCAAAAAAAAATGTCTATATGTCTATACCAACTATTTTTTTTTTATTATTATTACTTTTAGTTGAGATGGACACAATATCATTATTTATTTGTTTGTTTATTTATTTTCTTGTCATGTGACACACTATGTTTTATTCCCAAGCTATGGGGGACATCTTCTTTATACTTTCCTTTCCATACTTTCAGTTGGACAAATTAGTACTTACTTCGAAACTACTGAGTGTACTGTGGAATATGCTTTGGGGGGAAATAGAGTCTTGAAAATAAAAAATCCTGTCTGTAGAAAGCTTGCAATCCACTTGCAAATGAAGAAAATATACACCCAGGGAAAAATGAAAGGACTGTTTTAACAGAAGTTCAGAAAATAAGCAATGGAAGGCAAAAGAATGAGTGTTGTGATCAGACACAGGGACAGTGGAATAGAGGTCAAGGAAAACTGTCTATGGATAGGAAACATTTGAGATTGAAAAAAGGAGTAAGACATTAGATAAGGAGTGATGCACAAAGGAAGGTGTGGTAGGCAAAGGCCAACCTTCCGACACCACAAGGTACCATGTAACACCTTTTTGGGGGATTACAGATTCTCAACAGGATGATAGTGGAAGCTTATACTTTCACTTTTCTGTATCCCAGGAAAAATGAGCCTCTCACTGTCTCATACCACCCATGATGAAGACTGTCTTATTGATGGTCTCCTTTTCCTTCATTTCCTGTGTTTGCAAGGAGTTTTGGTAGATGAACCTGTTCAGAAATTTTGGCAAGGCAGCATAAAGATAAGTTGAATAGTCAAGCGTATCAGGTGGTCCATCATCAATAGGGTACAGTTGTTGAAGAACTGTACACAGTGGTTAAAATCATGCTCACTTCTTCTTAGGCGCACCATCCTTCTGTCACCTTTCTCAAGTGGGTATTAGGAAAGTCCATGTTTTCCACAATTTATTTCTCTCCAGTTTCCACATACCTGTGCCTTGAAAGCCCTCTACACACAAAACCTTCAACAGATGCTTCTTTCCTTTGACCTTCTGAACTTTTTAAGATTCAGCTGCAAATGACATGTTCTCCATGGTGTCTATCTCAAACCACAGGATTCTCGAAGTGTCTTTTCAAATTTATCTACTTTTCAAGTGTCTAAGGGCTCATTCTACTTCAAGAAAACTGTAATTACCCGTAAGTATACATACTGTCTTGTAGGTATGGTTTATGAAAGAAACAGAGCCCAAATCTTGGTAGATCCATACTCAAGGAAAAACTAAGATCAAAAAGTGACCAAAAAATATATGTTTGTATGAGTTAAGGTGAATGCATATATGTACACTCATATATTCTACTTAAAAGTGAACTTTGTTGGACAATCTTCCATCAGTGCTGCTCTTATGAGCTAATGAGTTTCTGTTGTATCTGCATTACAGTACTCGTTATGATGAGGAGCTATTGATTATTCCTCTGACTCTCTACCTGAGGGAAAGGACTATCTTATACCTTTTGTACCACCAATTCTCCACAAAATAACTAAAAACATCTTATTTCATCATTGTTTCTTAAATAAATATCCCAGTTGATTTTGATACCAGTTGACAAGTAGATAATATCAACACTATGCTCATTTTATAGGTAAGGAAACCCAGAATCATTAGAGGTTGAATAATTTGCCCAGATACAAGAGCTTTAGATGAGAAGAACCTATGTTAGCTGCATTGAAGAGCAAATGATATCGGTAAGTGTAATGAAAGGAGCTTGATGTGCTGATTTTCCAGAAGAAGCTGTATCTTGTTTCTCATAAGAAATGAGATGCCATGTAGTGGCCTATATAGAATTATTTTTTCCTCTTCTAATTACTCTGGGTGATTAGAACAGAAAGAATAAACTACACCTGCTCTTAAAGTTTATCAGATGTGTAGTGTCCTCCATACCCAAGACTTCTCTGATATTAATCATGTACATGTTAGGGTGAATAGTTTTCGAATTAGAAATGATAAGGCAAAAACCACCTCCGACTTCCTTTCAAGAGTTCTTGGGACTTCCAGGGCAATGTCTTTGGTTCTCTTTACAACTACATAGAATGCAAAGATCTTAAAGACCTTTTCCAGTCTGTTTTAGAAAATAATCACTTGCTCTAGCTGTTATTGTTCTCTAATTGTAAGGAGAGCAACTATTTTTTAGCACTTTCTACAATTCAAGTACTCTTCACACAATGCCTTATTTAAGTCTCATAATAAATAAATTGCCACTTTTCATTCCCCTGTCAGATACTTGTGCTCTCCTGATTGAACAGAGATGGGATGAATTATTGATCAGTTAATCAGCCCCTGCTAATGTGTCTGTCAGCTAATTTGTAACCCTAGTGGTTAGGGAAAAAAACTTCTTTATTTATTTAGAAGATATGTATATCTAGAAGGTATCTATGACAAGAATTTCAGATCAAATAAATATGAATAAAATTTGTATTCAGACTAGCCTTTTGAGGGCCATCAAATTAGGAAAAATAGCTAACCCATCTGTCTCCATATAGAAACAATGCTGCTGAAAATATGCTCCAATGGTAGAGTGTTTCAGTAACCCTGGTAATGACATGTGAATACCCTGCCGATAGACTCTCCATGACTCATCAGGAAATGCCATTTGGACAATTTTAGTTTAGGAAAGCAGCCAGTCTCCAACCAAACTCTTGCACACTATTTTCTGTGTTAACAGAGGTAGAACTGAATTTAGAAAACATTTGCCTCTAAATATTATGTAACTGGATATAACAGCTCTTTATAAGTGGTGGTGGAAACCTCAATGACTAGGAGCAGCTGTAAAGGTGACACAGAAACTCAAGCAACCTCCCTTTCAAGTCTCCTCTGGCCCCATTTATAGCAAGAGGAAGAGGGAGAATCATTCAAATAAATGTTACATCTTCTGCCACAAAGTTGTAGTGGAGAATCAGTCCTAGAAATATGTTTGAGGAAGAAGCACAACTCATAGAAGATTTAAAAGCACTGAATTTTCAAGTCATTTTTTGATTTGTAGAATCAGAAACTTTTTAGGAGTTGACTTGAGTTGCATGGATAGACCAGAAATAACACAGAGTAATAATAAAAATTTTAAAAGAAACAGAAGGTAGACTTAAGGATTTAGAGTAATTGAGGTGCAGGTATGAATATTTCAATGAAACTCACCTGGGTGCATTAAAATAGGTTAGCAATCTTAACATGGAGTTTATATATATTATTATGTTAATTAATATCCATGAATATTACATTATAATTATCATGTAATAAAATCATTATATAATTATGTTATGTATTATAAAATTATATATTACATACTTTTTTATAGGTGTACTACACCTGGGATAACGGGACAAAAGGATTAAAGATGGTGGCCCAGGGAGTCCTCAAAGAGATGACCTGCTGACAAAGTCTGGAATAAAGCAAGAGAGTGAGTTTTTTTGAGCACCGGCCCCCTCCTCCCCTCTCGCCAAAGCAGGGCCTCTTTCACATCAATGCAGCTACAGCGGGAAGTTACTGGAGGAACTGGAGTAAAATGCAGAATCAAGGGATGATGGTCACAGTAACAAAGCCAAAAAACAGTAGATGTTGGCGTGTGGTAGCCCTTCCCCAAGCCATCTCAGTCTGCCTTTCTCCCTGCATTCAGACATAGCCAAGGCTTGCATCCAGGTGTGTTTTTGTTTCATTCCAATCCATGACATCCTGTTTTGCAAATGCTTTCCCTAAAAGCTGATCTCTGTTATACATAAGTCGTTGTTCACCACTTCCACGATTAAGAGCTCCTGAGTAGGAGAAAGAGGGTGCCATTTTTTTTTTTCCTGTCTGTGGATTTAGGTAGACTGTCCGGACTTCAGTGCACCTGTCATATCTGCCTAAGGCTGGTTCCAATTAGAATCTGTCTTATGGAACCAAGCAAAAGTTAGTTAATGCTGTTGCTATTTTCCCATTTTGTGGCTCAGCAATTATTCATATGATGCTAAGCCCTTGAATGAGTATCCTCCCAAGCACTGCTCTGAGGTCATGGTATTTATGTTCAGAGATACTTTTTCCAAGATGTAACCTCTTAATTTGAAAGACATTGTATACTCTATTAGGAAGTACTGTTTTACTAGAATAAAAGGTAAGAGTCTCTTCTTATATGGAGGAAATTATTATTAAGAATAAATAGACTATTTTTTTTTCTGAAACTGAAATGTTCAGAATAGTATTCAGGGTGGATTTAGGTGAATGGACAGTGAATGATTTATCAGTTCATTACCTCAAAGTTTAGCAAAAAAAATCTCAAAGGAAGAACCTATATTTATTTCTGTAGATGTTCAAGGTTCAAATAAGTCTAAAATATACTGGTCTGATTTTCTGCAGTTTTCAAAGGTTTACCAAAGCTGGGTGCAGATTTGTATTACCTCTTTATAAATGCACATCCTTATAAGATGTAAACTCTGATACTGACCCCTCATAGAACACATTTACCTCCTGCTCATTCAGTAATAGTGAGCATATCTATGATTCATTATAGTGCCTTTATTACTATAGCATGATGCATACTGTTGCAAGCCTTGTTGAGGCATAATTGACAAATAAAAATTACATATGTGTGTGGTACACATCATGATGTTTTGATGTACGGAAACATTGTGAACACTATAATCAAGTTAATTAACATATTCATCACCTAACGTAGTTATCATATCTCTTTGTGTGGTAAGAATATTTAAGATCTACTTTCTTAGATGCAGTGGTGCTCATCTATAATCTAGCAACTCAGAAGGCTGAAGCAGGAGAATAATAAGTTCAAGACCAGCTTGGACAACCTACCAAGACCCAGTCTTAAAAATTAAAATTAAAATAAATGGTTGGGTATGTATCTCAGTGCTAGAGTGCCTCTGGGTTTAACCTCCAGGACAATAATAATAATAATATATATTATTTTTTTCTTAGCAACTTTCAAGCATATAATAGATTATTATTAATCATAGTTAGCATGCTGTGCAATAAATTTCCAGGCTTGCACACTTTTTAACTGACACTTTGACCAATATTGCCCATTCCCTCTTCAGTTCTATAAGTTTGACTATTTTTAATTCCATGTATAAGTAAGATCATGCAGATTTGTCCTTCTGTGTCTGGCTTACTCCACTTAACATAAT